CAACCTTCTGTGTTTAACTCATTATTAACACGTTTCTCCTACACTGACAACCTTCCGTGTTTAACTCATTATTAACACGTTTCTCCTACACTGATAACCTTCTGTGTTTATCTCATTATTAACACGTTTCTCCTACACTGATAACCTTCTGTGTTTAGCTCATTATTAACACGTTTCTCCTACACTGACAACCTTCTGTGTTTAACTCATTATTAACACGTTTCTCCTACACTGACAACTTTCCGTGTTTAACTCATTATTAACACGTTTCTCCTACACTGATAACCTTCTGTGTTTAACTCATTATTAACACGTTTCTCCTACACTGACAACCTTCTGTGTTTAACTCATTATTAACACGTTTCTCCTACACTGACAACCTTCTGTGTTTAACTCATTATTAACACGTTTCTCTTACACTGATAACCTTCTGTGTTTAGCTCATTATTAACACGTTTCTCCTACACTGACAGCTTTCTGTGTTTAACTCATTATTAACACGTTTCTCCTACACTGACAGCTTTCTGTGTTTAACTCACCACTAATAAGTTTCTTTTTTACATGATAAGTTTATTATGATTATTAGATGACTGACCAGTTCTACTGGAAGTTCTTTAACGGAATTCCTGGATTTATTTGTTTTGTGTTCTTCAAATGAGGGAAATATTATATTATATGTTAACTACACGCATGTTTACCGTGCACTAAACTTTCAAGCTTCGTTCTCTGTTTGTAATTCAAAGTTTCTCCAAGTGAATAGAACGGATAGAGTAAAATAATGTCTTGCTTATCACTGCATGAGTTCTGTAGTTATTACCAAAAACGACATTTCACAGGCTTCGTAAACACGCACCTCGTGTCTTTTGTTACTTACAAACTGGCGGAATTGCTGGGGTGACTGAGCATTATTGTGATACAGGGACTACGGGACAGGATGAACTATAAAGTGTAGGTCTAATTCAAAAATGAACTCAATTACAGCTTTAGGAGACAGACCGTTTTCACTTTCTATTGTGTGATGATGATGTGTTATAGCTGTGCTTGAACACACATGAATTTCATCATTTCCGTAGATTTACACGTGACTTCCGTCTTATTTTTAAACCTTTTATATTATGTATGACAGCTATATCATCTATAGTACTCTGATCATACCTAATCTTTCGAGTCTGATCAGACATATTTGACCGGACGTATCTTTCGTCATTGAGATTTTGTTTTTTAAGGTTGCTTAGTGATGAAGTTAAAGGAAAAATTGTTAAAAACGAAATTCATTGTTGTAACTTTCGTGCAGACGTTTCGTTTTTTCTTTGCCAGCAATGAAAATAGGAATGCCAGGTTAGTAACATAACGTTGATTTTCACCTAATTAGTCAGGGCATAAGTTTCACTGTTAAAATGGTTTCCATGTAAGTAGATGGCGGCCATTCTGCATGGCTGGTTGAATTAAATCTTTCTTCACATAACCATAATTACTACCAACATATGCATTCGTTTGACACATCCTGTATTAAAACGACACGCAATTAATTAAGGGGACAATACACATCTGAGTGTAAAGACCCACATGCTCGAAAAATTCCTAGATTTGTAATCTAACATAACTAGTGGTTCCAATAAATTGTCTAGATTAATTATTTCGTGTTATGTTTGTTATATTGGACAGGCAAGTTAGCCAACTATTTGCTAATGTCACATTAACTAAACACCATTTTATGTGTAATTTGATATGCTTTACAACTTTATTACATGGAGAAATGGTTATCTTAAGTTGACGTCATTTACAAAATAATTACAAGGAGAAATGGTTATCTTAAGTTGACGTCATTTACAACTTAATTACAAGGAGAAATGGTTACCTTAAGTTGGCGCACTCTACAACTTTATTACAGGGAGAAATGGTTACCTTAAGTTGACAGACGTTTACAACTTTATTACAGGGAGAAATGGTTACCTTAAGTTGACGTCATTTACAACTTAATTACAAGGAGAAATGGTTATCTTAAGTTGACGTCATTTACAACTTTATTACAGGGAGAAATGGTTACCTTAAGTTGACGTACTCTACAACTTTATTACAGGGAGAAACGGTTACCTTATGTTGACGTTCTTTACAACTTTATTACAGGGAGAAACGGTTACCTTATGTTGACGTTCTTTACAACTTTATTACAGGGACAAATGGTTACCTTAAGTTGACGTTCTTTACAACTTTATTACAGGGATAAATGGTTACCTTAAGTTGACGTCATTTACAACTTTATTACAGGGAGAATGGTTACCTTAAGTTGACGTCATTTACAACTTTATTACAGGGAGAAATGGTTACCTTAAGTTGACAGACGTTTACAACTTTATTACAGGAAGAAATGGTTACCTTAAGTTGGCGCACTCTACAACTTTATTACAGGGAGAAATGGTTACCTTAAGTTGACAGACGTTTACAACTTTATTACAGGGATAAATGGTTACCTTAAGTTGACGTCCTTTATAACTTTATTACAGGGACAAATGGTTACCTTAAGTTGACGTTCTTTATAACTTTATTACAAAGAGAAATGGTTACCTTAAGTTGACGTACTCTACAACTTTATTACAGGGATAAATGGTTACTTTAAGTTGACGTCCTTTACAACTTTATTACAGGTATAAATGGTTACCTTAAGTTGACGTGTTTTACAACTTTATTACTGGGAGAAATTGTTACCTTAAGATGACGTTCTCTACAACTTTATTACAGGTATAAATTGTTACCTTAAGTTGACGTGTTTTAAAACAAACTAAGAAACCGTACCCTCATTTCTAACGTACTTTTCTTGGTCTATAAAAATCAGTAATCGCCAGTTAATGCTTCTGTATAACTGATATAAAAGTTCTTAACGTTATACTAGCTGCTGAAGGTTATCCACTCACCATCCTCTATGCTACCTGTCTCCGATAAATCCCGCTCTTCTGGTGAGTAGTCTCCTCGTGAAGACCCATGATTTGGAGAAGAACAATGGTCACTTTTTGACTGGTTAAGCTGAGAAGAAGCCTTTTCGGAAGATATGAGGTTCCGGATGAGAAAGGACGGAGCTGAGCTGCGAGAAGCCGACTTTCTTGTGCGGAGATCGGTTGGCTGAGCTTGTTCGGAGTGGACCCGGACTTCGGTAGCCTCGTGCGTGGCCGAAGGGCTCCGCAAGGCCGGCCTGTATTCTAGCGACATAGTTACTGTCATTGTTTGAATTATTGTCTTCTAGTCGGTCATTCTCAACATGTCATATGTTGAATGGTATATATAATCTTACAATATTAAGATAGAAACACGTTCTAAATCAGTTGTGATATTTACTCCATAGTTAGTTGGATGTTAAATTAAAAGCTTGACTAATTTCGCTGTTTCTGAAATTAAAACAAGTAACAAAAGTAAAACAGAAGAATTGACTACTTACGATATCTAAACTACAGTTAACACTGGTCACCACACCATCTGCTGACAAAACTCTTAGTTTCAATCAACTGCAGACCTCCGCCCTCTAGCGGAAATGACTAAAATTACTCTAAACTGAAAACAGGTATACATGTTCAGGGCCACGCTAAATGTTCGTGGCATACAACGCATCTGAGAAGAAGAGTTCTAAACTAACATACTTGTTTGTGATGAAAAACATATTTGAATTCATCGCTTACATTATGTTTAATCGTTCCCAGATATTATGATAATTATTTATGCAATAAAACTGAAATTAAATTTTGTTGTTCCAAAATATTCAAAAACAAAATTGGATATTTTCCACGTTAATCACAATAGTTTTTAAGTTGGTATTAGACACATCTATTTGTTAATTAGATACCATAAGAGTGTTATAAGACATCATTATATTGTGGGTTTAAATTACAGTTAGATATTTTGGAATTAATTATAGTGAGACATCAATTTGCTGCGTGTGTAAATCATGATGAGTCACCACTTTGTTGTGGGTGTAAAATGTAGTTAGACACCACTTTGATGTGTTTATAAATAACACTGAGACATTTCTTTGCTGTAGGTGTAAATTGTATTGAGTCACTACTTCTCTGGAGGAGTATATTGTACTGAGACAACAATATATTGAAGGTGTAAATTGTAGAGAGACATCAATTTAATGCGAATGTAAATTTTGGTTAGACACCATTTCTCTGGGGGTGTATATTATACTGAAACAACAATATGTTCTGGTGTAAAGTGTAATGAGATACACTTTGTTGCGAATGTAAATTTTAGTTAGACACCACGTTGTTATGGATGAAACTTCTACAGAGACATCAGTATATTGAGGGTGTAAATTGTAGTGAGACAACACTTTGATGTGGGTGTAAATAATGGTGAAAGACTTTTACCTTGGGGTAAATTTTACTGAAACACTAGTGTATTACGAAGTAGAGTGTAGTGAGATACCATTGCGTTTTGGGTGTAAAATTTTAATGAGACATTGGATTACTGTGTGTGTAACTTATAGTTAGACATCACAATATTGTAGGTGTAAAGTATAGTGAGACACCACAATGTTGTAGGTGTAAGTTATAGTGAGACATCACAATATTGTAGGTGTAAACTATAGTGAGACACCACAATGTTGTAGGTGTAAACTACAGTGAGACACCACAATGTTGTAGGTGTAAAGTATAGCGAGACACCATTTGTGGTGTCTCACTATAACTTACACCTACAACATTTTTTGTAGGTGTGAACTACAGTGAGACACCACAATGTTGTAGGTGTAAGTTATAGTGAGACACCACAATTTGTAGGTGTGAACTACAGTGAGACACCACAATTTGTAGGTGTAAGTTATAGTGAGACATCACAATGTTGTAGGTGTAAACTATAGTGAGACACCACAATGTTGTAGGTTTAAACTACAGTGAGACACCACAATTTGTAGGTGTAAACTATAGTGAGACATCACAATGTTGTGGGTGTAAGTTATAGTGAGACACCACAATTTGTAGGTGTAAACTATAGTGAGACATCACAATGTTGTGGGTGTAAGTTATAGTGAGACACCACAATTTGTAGGTGTAAACTATAGTGAGACACCACAATGTTGTGGGTGTAAGTTATAGTGAGACATCACAATGTTGTAGGTGTAACCCATAGTGAGGCATGTAGCTATATATATTGTAAGTGATATATATATATCCCTACTTTCAACGAGATTTTCTGTAGAGACATTAATATTTGGTGGGTTTTATTTAGAGCCTCATTTAAAGTTATTGTGATATTGCTTTTTCGAGTAATTTAAATATTTTAATACTAAGTTATTCCAGCTGTAGTTTACATCTAGTAAGGCCGTGTTTCATTACATGAATATCTGCAAAGGTTTTGGTTTTGTTTATCAGTGAATCTGATTCAGCGTCTTCATTTCTATGCGTAACAGGAGAGTTAGCTAAACGATAATATTTGTTCCCTCATTTGTTACGCACGCATTTCGGTTTTTGCAGCTTATTTTCATGCTTCGTTCTTTCCTCAACATACATACGAAATCGAAAAGAACACAGCTTTTCCCTAAAGTATTTCCACTTCTCCTCTGGTCGATGCGAACTGACAACTCAACTGGTGTTTACCCATGAAAATGTCTCTCTGTATTAGCCGATTTTATTAAATGGCTGTACGGCCTGGAGTGGAAAAGCTGATCCATTGGAACATAATAAGAAGTTAATCTCGAGGACCCACAGTAGAACCACTAGACTGAAAGTAAAAGGAATTAATTCTTGCTTAGCTGGACAGTGGTCAGACTAGTGTTTCTCTGGTTACCAAATATCTTGTAATCTCCATTTACACGTATAAAATATAGGATAGGTCACATTCTGGTGATATACAAGAAACATTTACTTGTACAAAATCAAAAACAAGCTTTTTCAAATTTCTACTATATAATAGCCCTCTTCAAAATATTTTACGAAATTAAATAAAATCTTTTTTAGCAAGGATTCTACAAGTTCTCACTTTATAGCAGCTCTCTTTGAAATATATTTAAAATACATTTAAAAACACATGACATGTATATCAATGTACATGCTTTATTCTCCGACTTTTACCAATAACCACATACATGAAGCACGAGTATTCACCGTATTTTATTTCTGTACTTAACAAATACATGAAACACGCATGTGTCAGCTTACTGAATAAAAAGTATACAGTTTCTACACGACTGGTTATAGAAAAAAGCTAAAACACGGAAATTTCGTAAACTGATGTTATTTATTCTACCAAGACTAAGAATCCTCTAATGTCGAACTTGATGTCATTTACTCAAACAATACCAGGTTGCTTCAGGTGTTGTACTTGATGTCATTTACTCAAATAATACCAGGTTGCTTCAGGTGTTGTACTTGATGTCATTTACTCTAAAAAGGCCAGTTAGCTTCAGGTGTTGTATTTCATGTTATTTACTCTAACAAGGCCAGGTAGCTTCAGGTGTCGTGCTTGTTTTTTGTTTACTCTATCAAGGCCAGTTAGCTTCAGGTGTCGTGATTGTTTTTTGTTTACTCTATCAAGGCCAGTTAGCTTCAGGTGTCGTACTTTATGTTATTTACTATAACAAGACCAGTTAGCTTGTTGGATATTTTATACATTTTACATGGATAACAAGTGATTTCACACTAATTAGAAGCTGGATATTTTATACATTTTACATGAAAAACAAGTGAGTTCACACTAATTAGTGGTTGGATATTTTATGTATTTTACATGGATAACAAGTGATTTCACACTAATTAGAAGCTGGATATTCTATACATTTTACATGGCTAACAAGCGATTTCACACTAATTGCTTGTTGGATATTTTATACATTTTACATGAAAAACAAGTGATTTCACACTAATTAGAGGCTGGATATTTTATACATTTTACATGGATAACAAGGGATTTCACACTAACTACTGGTTGGATATTTTATGTATTTTACGTAAAAAAAGATTTGATTCTATCCGACATTTTTGGTTAGATCTTTACATGATTTGTAACAAGATTACTCAAAATTATATGATAATATGAGTACCCCATAGGACGGAAAACGAGTCGGTGATTGCATGATTAAGGATACCCATTTGAGGTATATACAATGGATTCATAAGCTATATCGTGTTGAAGTAGATAATTACATTACGAAACGATTGTCTAAAACTTATCAGAAGCTTTTTTGAATACAACAGAGTCGAGAAAGCAATGGTATTCATTGTACTAGTTCTCAGTAAAGGCCAGTAATTACACTCGGATTCACGATTTTATAACTTTTAATAGGTCATTTCTGATACCTATATAAAGGTAATTAAATATATAGAGCCCAACGCTCTCCGAGTTTTGTCACTTTCTCAGCTGTCTGTAATCATTAGTCTGGAACGTTTCCCACCTTAGTCAATTTGAGCTAGTTTATTTTTTTACTGAAGGAATACAATATTTCTTCTTTAGTTATATATATTGTATTAGGCTATATACTTGTATTACATACGTGGATAAATTTGTGTGTGTGTATAAAGTGCTAATAATAAAAAATGCATTAAAAATCCCAACACTTTTAATCGTAAAAATATTTTGTATATATAT